TTCCCACATAATATCGATGAACTTTTTAGCCATTTAGCAGAGCTACGGTTTGAGCCACTGTAGTTAAATACCATCCTTACAGTGTTTTAGCTCTGAACTGCGTTTCTTGCTCTACATTCTTTTTAAAAGTACAGCATTTGGCTGATCCTCCTGCAAAACATAACTAGTTATTCCCAATTCGCCTTAGATAACCTTTAGACTGAGCCGCACAATAAGAGATTTTAGATATTCGTTTTTCTTTCTAAGTTATGATGTCACAAACTTAACAAGGTTAACCTGACATGAGTTCAAAGGCTGTATCTTGGCCAAACTTTAAACAATCAAAATGAAAATTAACAAGGAGTTCCCTGGGTCTTCTGGACCAACTGTAAGCCTTCGCTGCTTGGACCTTAATAGCCCCTTGCAGTGATTTATATATGTGATTATCACACACACACACACACACACACATATATATATATATATATATATATATATATATATATATATATATATATATATATATATATATATATATATATATATATATATATATATATATATATATATATATATATATATATATATATATATATATATATATATATATATATATATATTTATGTGTGCGTGTGTGCATTTGTCTATCTTTTCATATTATGCTATATCGTGGTGTCGCAAAATACTTTGTTTATGGTAATACTTCATTCATCATTTGGATGAGCAGTGTAAATGTAGACAGAAACATGGATAACAGAATGCTGAAAAAAAGTTGCAAATAAAGGTGATTTTTTAAAAATAATTTAAAACCCTTATTATAAGTGATAAAAACAATTGAATAGGATTAAATTAAACCGATCTATAACACCAAATGTTTCATCACAAACACCTCAATAGTTTTGAAAGAGGTAGGTGACTATCACGATCACCAGCCCTGCTAGAGCACACTCTACCCTCTGTCTTGCCAGTCATCCAGACTCCATTTCCCATAATCTATTGCACTGATTACAGCTCCACCTATTCACCTTATTCTTCGCAGACAAGCAGGCAAAGCCATTTGAATCTTTTTGGCTCTAGACTTCTGGTCTCATTCACATCCATTAATTTTTAGACATTAAAATCTGCTCGTTTCGCAGTTTGATGTTGCAAACTGATATTTTCGTATAATATTCTTCTACTTGGTCTGTGTAGTCAGGCAAACATTTGTTTGTGGAGCAAGTAGTTTGACCGTTTTCTGCCATTTATTATTCCTTGTCATTTCTCCCATAGGCGACTGAATCGGAAGTTCTAAGACAATCGCGAAAACAGGCGCACTTCCGCATTTTAGAATAAGGTCAATATACCAGACTTTAAGCTACACACTCTCCCATGTTTAATGCCAAGTCTTCTTTAGCTGTTCTGACAAAAAAAAGTGTTTTTTTTTGTTTTGTTTTTTCACCCTGGGCTGTTTCTCATTTTAAGAAATTGCCAACCGCCTTGAACATTAGCCTGTTTTGAATTACCTCTTACCTCGTTTTTCCTTCTTTATTGTTTTTTTGTAATGGGAAAATTGATTGAACCAATTACTTTGTTCTGAAGCATTTGAAACACCTGCTAGTCAAAATTCTATAAATGCAACAAAAACTCAGACAAAACATGCATTAATATTGCCTTTATCATACATATTGAAAGTATAACACACACAGCTTATCATCTACTATTATTAAATATTAAATGTCTGCATAATTTGCATTCTTCAAAAACATTTCAAAGCTTATATATTGTTTGTTCTATGGTGGGCTCTGCTAAAAAGACCAACAAAAAATATGAACTAATATAATATTTCATTTTTACAGTGCCTTACTAAACATTTACACAATAGTGACACTGATCTGAAATCAGCAAACTGAGATAAAAAAAACTATGAAACCTGCTCGGTTATTTGCCTCTGGGAGAACATTTTGAGTGAATGTGCTATACATCTGAATTTTTAGGTATTACACTGATTATCCCACTGTAGAGAAACATTACATTTTGAAAACAATTCAAAGCGTTAATGAAGTAACGAAGCTCCACTTACTGGAATTACATGATCCTGCTAATTTGATACACTCATCGAATCACTGATTCGAAACAAAAGATTAGGTTTCAAACTGTCATAAAGCCACTACATTTTGCCTCTTTTGAATTACCCATTTGTCTTGCCTTTTATATTGTTGTTGTTGATGTTGAAACAAATTAAACAATTGCTTGGTTCTGAAATGCTCGAGATGCTACATGCTAGGGAACCTGCTGGTCAAAAAAATTTGAATGCGATAGGAAATGCGAAAACTCAAGCAAAACATGCATTAAATTTGGGATTTTCAGACATTAGAAACTTTAAATTGAATGCATAAATGCCCTTGGCAAATATTATTATGTATTAAGTGTGTGCATGATATGCGTTCTTCAATAAATTTTCAAGGCTTACCTTGCTTGACCTTGCCAATTTGACACATGCTCTGAACTGGACTGTTTTGACGCTTATAGTCCATTTATAAGCCTGCCTGTTTTCACCATCTTTTTAATAAAATGCTGCATGAAAATCCACTATTCTGCTGTCTTGCACCCTTTCGTAACAGTAACAACAGTTATCCAGATGACAAAATGTCACAAAAAGACTATAAATGTGTAAACGGTCCACAGTAAAACCAAATAAGTAAAACAAGGAAACAATTGGAATCAGGTGGGCCTGTAATAAGTGCAATGGTTTGTGGGAAATTGAGTCTGGATGTCTGGCAAGGCAGTGGGTAGATTGCACTTTGGTGGGACTCAAGAACACCCCCGCTGGTGATTGTGACAGTGATGTGAAATTTCGAAGATATCAGAGTGGAATTAATGACACCA